AAGGGGCCACAGTCAATCAGAGCCCCCTTAACCCGTACCGCCTCTATTCTGGCGCGAGAGGCCGCGCAAATGTATGTGGATGTCGGCGCCGTCGCCGACGCGGTCGCCCCGCGGCTCAGGGCGCGCCGTCCTGGGGCGGATGGGGGTGCAGGAGGAAGATTGACAAGGAGGAAGAGCAGAGGCAAGAGGGATCTGGACAAGGAGGAGGGCGGGCGACAAGCAGGAGCAGGAGGAAGAGTGACCAGGAGGATGGAGAAGCGGCCCTAGCCCCTCTTAGAGGTCGCCTTCGGGCGCTTGCCCTTGTCCTTCTCAGTGTCCTTGTCCTTGTCTTTGTCGCCCCTCCCTCCTTTCGAGGGTCTGCCCCCCGCCTGGTCCGCGGGGGGCTTTTTTTTTGTTTTGGGGTCCTTCTTTTTGTTGTCTGCGTTCTCCGCGTCCGCCCTGGCTGCGTCCGCCGTTGCTGCGCCCGTCTCTGGCTGCTCTGGTGTTGCCGCTTCTGGCGCTGCCGTCTCTGCCGCCTGCCGCTCCTCTGCCTCTCGTTTCTGTTTCTGCTCCGCTTCCTCCTTGGCCCGCGCTGCGTCCTCCGCATCCTTGGCAGCCTTGGCCGCCTCTTCCGCCCTCCGTGCGGCCGCTTCGGCAGCCAGCAGCCTCGTCCTCGCCTGCGCTTCGGCGGCCTCTGCTGCCCTCTGCAGCTCCAGGCGGGCCTCTGCCTCCCGCCTCAGCGCGGCGTCCCTCTGCTGTTGTTGCGCCCGCCTCAGGCGGATGATCTCCTGCTCTGCCCTGCGCTCCTGCTCCTGCCGAAGGCGCTCCTTGTGCCTTTCGACGCACCTCTGCGCCGCCTCCGTGCGATTCAATGCCCGCAAGAGCCTCCGATGCTGCCTTGCGTGCTCTTCCTCTAGCCTCATCAGCTCATCAGGCTCCTCTGACTCCGCTTCCTCCTCCATGCCCTCTTCCTCCTCGCCCTCATCCTCCTCTTCTTCCTCCCCCTCTCGGGCTCCGTCGTCGGATCCGTCAACCTGCATTGCTTCGGCAGGTGCTGCGCTGCTGCTGCTGCTGCTGCGGGCGGTGCTGCTGCTGCTGCTGCTGCTGCGGGGTGTCCAGCCGCTGCTGCTGCTAACAGTGCTGCGGGTGGCGGGCCGATCGGTGGCGTTGGCCCCCCCTGCGGGGGCGGCGGCTGCGCTGCTGTTTCGTTCTGCTGCTCCTGTCGGGGAACGACGAAGTAAGCTCACCCCCATGAGAGGGGCCTCTTCTTGCGTTTATTCGGTCCCCCCTCGTTTATCCCCTCAAACAGGGGCCCTCCCTTCTTGGCAGCGCGGGGCAGAGGGGGGGGGTGCGGTCCTGCAGCAGGCCGACCAAGACCGCCTCCCTGGTATCGCACCTCCGCTGCCAGTGCCTGGCAGGCGCAGAAAACTGACCAGGATAAACATTGAGAAAATCAAAACATCAAACCGACATAACTTCATTCCTCAATGTTTGAGGGTTCCCCCCTCCCCACCACTTGCACCCTTGCGTTGCCTGGCTCTGGCGACCTCGCTCTTGCCGCCCCTCCACCTCCTCCCGTTGCGGTCGCGGTCGCCGTGCTCGTGGAACCACTGGGTCGCGTGGTGTTCCTGGCACGTCTTGCCAACGCACACCGAGAAGAAGGTGTGTTTGCCGCACTGCCAACACTTCTTGCAGTTCATCTTGCGAAGCCACAAGCGGTGGGACGAGCGGGTGTACCGCTTCCTGTGGTCCTGGAAGTCCAGCATGAATTCCTCCTCCGCCTCGCTGTCGTCGTCGTCGACCTCAAAGACAGGCGCGTGCCCGTCCTGCAGGGTGTCTCTGTAAATCAATCCCTTCAGGAAGGGTCACGGGTCTCTGTGAATGAATCCCCTCAGGAAGGGGAGGTTCTATCGATAAATCCCCTCTGGCAGGGGTCTCTGTAAACGGATCCCCTTCTCTGTAAACGGATCCCCTCAGGAAGGGGCGCCTTAACCACGTGTACCCCCAGCTCCTCGTGAGGCCGCTTGCCGCCGCCACCGCCTTCTGGAGGCAGCCCGCCGCCGCAGCCGCCCGACATCATCATGCCGGAAGCCTGGGGTCCAGAACGGTTGCGGCCGAAAGTTTTTAGTCAGACTCAAAAGGCTAAAATCTGGGGGCCTCGTGGGAGGCCCTTCGGGGGGGTGAATGTAATGGAATTTCATAGGAATTCGTCCAATTTTAGACCCCCTTTTTTTGCTAAAAAAGGTGGGTCTAAAACTCGGCTGCTGGATTGATTTTTTATCGCCCAGATGGCCAAACAAGTGGCCGTCACTCTTACTTTTCTCCTCATCCTGCCCCAACTCCCCCCTTGCATTCTGCTTCCGCGCGGCCTGGAGCGCCGAGAGGCACACGATGAGCGCCCGCATGGCCGCGAGCTCGGGGCGGGGGGCTGGCCCCCAAGCGCGCTGGGCGTCAGCTCTGTCGAACGGTTGCGGATGAAGAACATGAAAGCAAATGGGGGAGGGATGGAACGAGGAGGAAACGCAATGCCACACACATAATGAGTAAGCAGACTGCCGCACCTTTGATCCCCTCCCCGAGGGGTCCCCTCTCGGAGGGGGCCGTTGCCCTGTCTTATCGCGAGTGTGCTGAAGCCCCTCTTAAGGGGTTCCCCTCTTAAGGGGTTCCATCACTCGCCAATCCATCGCGCGGTCCCCTCACGGAGGGGCGCCCCTGCGATGAGGGGGTGTCGTCTAGCACTGGAGAGGGCGCTCTGCCAACGGGCATGGCGATGGCAATGGCGATGAAGACGGTAAGGATGATGATGATGATGGATGCGATGATGAGGATGGATGCGATTAGTCGCCCAAGCGCTGTGCCACTAAGCGCTCAGCCTCCGCCTTAGCAGCTTCCTTGGTGTCAGCCACGGTGCCGTCGACCAAGGCCTTCTTCAGCTCTGCGCCGATCTCCCTGAGCGTGGCCTCGTCCAAGGTGTCCTTGTACTTTTTCCCGCCGAAACTCACAAACTGGTTCTTCTCACCGTGCGTCCGCTTCAACCCGATAGAGTGGTCCCTCTTGTAGTACATCACGCTGTGCCCGCGGTCGGCGTGGCCAGCGGGGGGCCCAGCGCCGACCGAGGGCTCATCTGCAGCATCCACGGGCTCATCGGGTTCCAGCTGCTCTTCCTCCTCCCCCTCATCGTCCTGGTCCGTCTCCGTGTTCGCGGCGGCTGCACTGGGCTTTCTCATTGCAGGCTTCTTTGCCACTACATGTCCTGCTGGCTTCCCTTTTTTGCACGCTTTCGCCTTCGCCTGCGCGGCTGCCGCTCTTGCTGCCAGGAGGGCGTTGGGCTGCTCCGTCTTCTCCGTCCTGCCGTCGGGAAACACGGCATCCAAGAAACCATCGCCTCCTTTCGTCAGTGTTCCCCGCTCCTCCCTGTCTGCGAACTTCATCACCATGCACATCGGCTCGGAGTTGAAATCGAAATACGTGGCCAGGGGATCCTGGGGCGGGTCTCTCACTTGCCCCTCCCGAGCTCCCCTCCCGAAGGGGTTCGGTTACGCCGTGAAAAATCAAAACTGCTCCCCTCCCCCTCCCACCCTGCCCGCCCCCTCCGATCCTCCTTCGGGGCCGCGGCGGGCGGGTCAGCGAGCTCGACGTCCTCCTGCGACGAGAACACCACCATCGGGCTCCACGTGGCAACCTTCTGTTTCTTCCCTGCCGGTTTCGGAGGCGGGCTGATGCCGAAGGCGTTCTTGATGACATTGCGCCTGCTGCCCCCATCTGCGCTGGACGACGCGGCGGCCGTGGAAGATTTTGGAGGGTTCATCTCTATGTCGGAGCTGCTGTCGGCGCGTTTTTTGCTCTCTCCTGTGCTTGGGCTTGCCCTGCCAGGCTGCAGCCCCATTGCCACCCCAAGCATTTTTGCGTGCGCCTCCAGCTTCCCCCCCGTCTTGGCGATGTAGAACTTGTTGCAAACATGGCTGAAAGCGTTGGCCACCTCCTGGCAGAAACGCCTACACTCTTCCTGGTGCATGTTCGGCTTCTGCTTCAACACGACGTCCTGGAGGTTCTTCCATTTGACGCGTGTGGTGAGCTGCGCAAGCGGCAAGAGAAACGGCATGTTGTTCTTCATGAAGTCATCTATGCCCCCTTGCAGTTGGCATTTTTCGATGAGATCAATGTGCTGTTTCACGAGCGGCTTCAACTGTTCCTCTGTCACAGAAGAAGCCCGTATCTTCACCTCCGTCTTGCCCTTGACCATTGCCCACCCCCAGTGCGCGCAAGCAAGAGTAGCGCTATGTGCCCTCGAGCCTTCGCAGCTGCGGGATGTTGTAACATGCGCGCAATGTGATGCAGCCGATACCCCTCGCTCAGGGGACGCATGCCCCCTCACTCAGGGGATCCTTAACAATGCGCGAGCGAAGAAAAGTACGACCTGGCCAAAAATCATGGGTTGGACTATAGTGCGACCCAAGGAAAGTGCCAGGTCGATCTATAGTTCGACCCCGCACTATAGATCGACCTTGGAGTCTCAAGGTTTTTCATCCGGTACCAGTGCTGGCGCCGGCGCCGGTGCCGGTGCCGGTGCCGGTGCCAGGGCTGGTGCCGGTGCGGTTGCGGGTGCGGGTGCGAGTGCCGGTGCTGGCGCCGGCGACGGCGCCGGCGCTGGTGCCCGTGCCGGTGCCGGTGCCAATGCCGCCGGCGCAGGCGCCGGTGCTGGTGCCGGTGCCCGTGCCGGTGCCGGTGCCGGTGCCGGTGCCGGTGCCGGTGCCAGTGCCGGTGCCGGCGCCGGTGCCGGTGCCGGTGCCGGTGCCGGTGCCGGTGCCAGTGCCGGTGCCGGTGCCGGTGCCGGTGCCGGTGCCGGTGCCGGTGCCGGTGCCGGTGCCGGTGCCGGTGCCGGCGCAGTGCCGGTGCCGGTGCCGGTGCCAGTGCCGGTGCCGGTGCCGGTGCCGGTGCCGGTGCCGGTGGGCGAGAATCGTTCTATAGTGAACGTTGGAGACGGTTCCGCTTCGATGTCGATGCCCATTTGGATCTCAAGCCCGATAACTGTACAGTTTGCGATTATGATGACAGACATGCAGTAATCGGACCAGGGGTTCCTAGTGCCCCTGTAAGCAGCGCGCTGCACCACAGCAACGTTCGATCGGAAGGTGCGGTCGGTATATTCACGGGGCTGCTGCGAGATGCGAACCTGCCTGCCGATCCTGTCGAGAGCCGAGTTTAACCCGCGGTCTCGCAATGTGTGACTAGTGATCTCTGCCGTGGTCCTCATCTGGGTGACCTCCTTTGACCTCGTGCTGCTGCCGCCTGTTTGAGCTGGCCAGCGCCATCGAGGGGCACGCGCTCGTGCCCAGCCCGCGCTCTCGCAGGGCGATCGTGGTGAGCTCCGCGGTGCTCCTCGCGCCCGAGCTCTCAGCCAGGCCCAGGCGGCTGCCGTCTGCCGTGGTCCATGGCAGCGGCCGCGGGGGACCTCCTCCTCGCGGCCCATGGCTGTGCCGACCCCGGACTGTGCTGGCGACGCCGCGGCCGCAGCGCCCTCGGTGCCGGCGCCCTGCCCGAGGACTTGGGCGATGCCCGTGAGCAGCGCGCCGTGGCGCCCCGGCAGCTCCTGGCGCCCCAGCCTGGCCATCGCTCGGACGCCCATCCCCTGTGTTTTTCTGCCGGCTGCGTGCGTGGCTCTTTCGCCAAAGGATCAAGGATGCTCCTCGATGTTCCTCGCCGAAGGAAACCTGCACACGTCCGAGCGGCGCCAAACAGCAGCTCCTGGCGCTCGGCGTCCAGCCGCCGCCGGAGCCAGGCTGCCGCCTCCTCGGCCCGCGGGCCGGCGGCAGCCGCCTGCCCTGGGGCCTCGGGGGCCTCCCGCGCTCCCGCGCACCATAGGCTCGGCATGGCGCCCGCGCCGAGCGGGCGGGGACCCGGAGCACGCCCGGGCCACCGCGCGCGGCCGCAACTGGAGAGCCAGGGGCCGGCGCCCCCCCGGAGCTGGAGCCAGAGTGGCTCGAGCCAAGATGGCTGCGGGGGGCCTCCTCGGCCGCCTTGGGGCGGTCTCGGGGGCCTCTCCGGCTGTCCTGGAGAGCTGGAAGCCTGAAAACGCGAGAAGGCCAAGCACCTCGGGCAAAAACAGATGGCAGCGTCACGGTGCTATACCCTCTTCGGGCTCTCTCTGGGGTCTCTTGGGCGAGCCTGCGGGCCTCGTGGGGCCTCTTTGGGCGACTCTCGTGGGCCTGGGGCTTGTTGGGAGCCTCTGGGGGATCCTGGAGACTTCTCGGGGGCCTCCGTGGGGCTCCTGCCCGCGGGCCCATTCCGAGCGGTCCTGGGGCGCTCTTGAGCCGTCTTGGGCTCCTCTTGGGTGGTCCTGCGGCTCTCTGGGGCCGTCTTGGGCTCTCTCGGGGTCCTCTTCGGCTGTCTTGGAGCGTTGGAGGCTCGAAAACGCGAGAGGGCCAAACACTTTGAAACCAACGATGGACATCGACGATCTGTATGTGTCTCAGCTCGACTGGGCGACGAATCACTAGAGGAAGACCGAGGTCTGCGTGCAAGACGCAACGCTGCTGGGTCAAAGGTAGCGGCGATGGTTCCAACCACGCAAGCTCGCTCCTGACCGCTACTGCTGCGATGCAGAGCATGCACATCCCGATTTGAAAAACGTGAAAACGTCCACCGTCTGCGAACAAAGTACTGGCTCTAGAGTACTCCAAGTGGGGCACATCTCATGAGCAAAGTAATGGCACCTCACAGGTTGCGAAAAAAACAAGCCAAGGCGCTGGCCGAGACGTCGTGGAGCGCCAGAAGCTCGAAAAGTCTAGTTCTTCGTGAGCACGAAAAAACGTATGGAGAATCGTTGGTCTTGCCTCTTGCGGCCATCTGGGGAGTGCTAAGTGGAAACCTCTTGGGCCGTCTGGGGGCATCTCGGGGCATCTGCGGGCCGCGCGCCCGCAGACGCCCCCCAGTCGGGTGTTGCTAGAAATGCCCCTGTCGAAGGCGCCCCTGGGATTTCCAGGGGGGCCCCCCGGGCCTCCTCCTCCTCCTCCTCCTCCTCCTCCTCCTCCTCCTCCTCCCCTCCTCCTCCTCCTCCTCCTCCTCCTCCTCCTCCTTCTCCTCCTCCTCCTCCTCCCCCTCCTCCTCCTCCTCCTCCTCCTCCTCCTGCCTCCTCCTCCTCCTCCTCCTCCCCCTCCTCCTCCTCCTCCTCCTCCTCCTCCTCCTCCTCTCTCCTCCTCCTCCTCCTCCTCCTCCTCCTCCTCCTCTGCTCCTTCTCTCCTCCTCCTCCTCCTCCTGCTCCTCCTCCTTCTCCTCCTCCTCCGCCTCCTCCTCCTCCTCCTCCGCCTCCGCCGCCTCCGCCGCCTCCTCCTCCTCCTCCTCCTCTTCCTCCTCCTCCTTATCCTTCTCTTCCTCCTCTTCAGCCCCTCCTCGTTGTGCACAGCTCCTCCGTGGCGCGCCCCCAGACGTGTCCATACATGTCCGCAGGCTGGTTCGCCGGGCGTGGCGTCGGCGACCACGCGCGGGAGGCCACCCGAGACACCACGCAGGAGGCGCCGAGGCCACGGAAACCGCGCGCGGAGGCCCCGACGCCACGCGGGAGGCCCCGACGCCACGCGGGAACCACGCGCGGAGGCGCCGACACTGAAGGGGCCCCAGGACACACAAATAGATACTCACAAATAAGAAGGATTCCCCATAGTTCCCTACCTAGGCTCTGCCTAGAAGGGTTCTTACCCTGTGTGCTTAAAGGGCCGGGCAGTGGAAACCGCCCCGGGCGGTTCCCCCGGCATCCGCCCCGCGGTTCCCCCAGCTACGTCCCCTTAGCTTGGCGTTGCTTGTCTCATCTTAGCTTAGCTTATGTCATCATAGCTTAGCTTAGCTTCATCTTAGCTCAGGTTTGTCTTAGCTTAGCTTACCTTCATCTTAATTTCGCTGAGCTTTAGCATAGCATAGCAGAGCACAGCATAGCGTAGCATAGCGCAGCACATCATATCATAGCATAGCCCAGCATAGCATAGCATAGCGCAGCATGACATAGCATAGCATAGCATAGCATAGCATAGCGCAGCACAGCACAGCACAGCATAGCACAGCGCAGCATAGCATAGCATAGCAGCAAAGCAAAGGCACATCAACAGCAGCAAAGCAACAACAACATCAAGCAACAACAAAAGCAATATCAAAGCAAAAGCAACAGCAAAAGCAAAAACAAAGGCAAGGCAAAAACAAAACCAATGCGACAGGGTTGATGTAGATGTAGATGTAGGTGTAGGTGTAGATGTAGATGTAGGTGTATATGTAGATTTGAGTCTCGCTGTTGATGTTGATGTAGATGTAGATGCAGGTGTAGATGTTAATATAGCTGACGGTGTAGATGTAGATGTTGCTTTCCTGGATGCTCCAACTCCTAGGTAGGGCCGCACTGGGATAATTTCTTATATGTTCCAATATTTTCGGGGGAATCGACGATTAATTGTGTCTGTGTGTTTCTTTCCCTCCTGAGACACCACGCGGGAGGCGCCGACACTTACCAGCCTGGAACATGTCCCTATCCCTATGCTGGGCACCTCCTCATCACGATGCCAATATTAGGGATTCCCTTATCTTTTGAGGGCGGATCCCTAAGATTGTCATCGCCTTTTGGCGTGTCAATCTCAGGGATAGGGATACGTTCGAGGCTGGTGAGACACCACGCGGGAGGCGCCGACACCACGCGGGAGGCCCCGACTTGGGGAAAGAAAAATGCCATAAACATAACAAAAAACTCTGAGGTCCGCGCGGGTTTCTCAGATCGGCGCTGGACCCCCTCCCTGGCGCGCTCCGCGCGCCAGGGGCGGCGCCGGAGGCGCCGCCGGGGGGGCCCCAGCGCCGATCAGAGCGCCCATCACGAGGCCCAGAGCGTCTCGACAGACGCCATTCAGGCGTGCCCACAGGGTGCGCAATTTCAAGGTATCCTAAGAGAGCGGTGAGAACCTGTGAATTCGCGAGCGGGCCGGCGATAGAGACCTGCCAGTATCGCAAGCGCCGAATTGTGAGTTCGGTGCCCACAGGCACGAGACGCCACCAGCGAAGCACAGAAGCAGGGGTTCTCGACCTGAACTGCCCTGGAGCCTCTTCGTCAGATGCCCTTCCTCCCATATAGGGGGGAACGTGCGAACCCTACCCCTACCCCCACGATTTCTTAGGGGGAGGGTGGGGTTCACTCCGCTCGGGAGCTCCCGCACGAAGTGAACCCCACCCTCCCCCTCAGAAATCGTGGGGGGTAGGAGGTAGGGTTCGCATGTGCCCTTCCCCCCAACAGCCCACCTGGCAGAACCCGCCACCAGGTTTCTTCCTCGAGCAGTCCCCGACCCAGACAGGCTCGCGCCGTGGCAGCACCAGGGCGGGAGGCGTGTGGCCGTCTTCGGCCCCCGGGAGCCCTCGCCGTGCCCCCCGACAATCAAAGAACGGCCCGGGATGAAACGCTGGCCCCTCGCCATCGCTCGGACGTCCACTCCCTGTGTTTTTTTCGGTTTCGTGCGTGGTTTTTCGCCAAATGATCAAGAATGCTCCTCGATGGCTCTCGCCGAGAAAAAAGTGCACACGTCCGAGCGATGCCAGGGCCCTGGGGAGAGGGTCGGGACTTCCAGGGACCCCGCATCGAACAACAATCAAGACGCATCATGTCTGGGCGTCGTCGCCCGGTTTCAGGAGCCGGGACCTTGGCAGATCGGTATGGCCCGAAAGATGGCGCAGAAACGTAGGGTCAGGGGCTCCGCTTGCAATTTTTCGCAATGTTGTTGATGGGGTCGGAGGATGGCGCCGCATCGCCAATGCACCTTAGATGCATCGGCGATGCGTCGGCGACGTCGGCGATGCATCGGCGCCGTCGGCGGTGACAACATCGGAGAGAGCGTGATCCACCGCCGCTTTACTGTGGAAAATTTCCCCCCTTTTCCTCCGGAACCCGGGGTTCCCCCCCCCTCCCCCCCCAAAAAAACCCTCCCTGCTGGAACCCCCCCTCCCCCCCTCCGGAAAACCGGGGGGGGTCACTACCGGTTCGAACCCCTCCCCCCCCTCCAAAAAACTGGGGGGGTCACTACCGGTTCGAACCCCCCCACCCCTTTGAAAACCGGGATGGGTCACTACCGGTGCGAACCCCCCTCCCCCCCCACTCATCGCCGGCAAACGACTCCCGGGTCCCCACCACCGTCCGCACCACATCCCCCACTGCTGTCCCCAGCACCAGTCCTCACCACCACTGTCCCCACTGTGCCCACCACCGTCCCCGCTGTCCCCACCAGTGCCCCCACCACTGTCGCACCGCCCCCATTGTCCCCACCACTTTTCCCACCGCGATCCCACTCTCCCCACTTTCCCCACGGTCCCAACCACTGTCCCACTGTCCCCACTGTCCCACTGTCCCACTGTCCCCGCCGCTGCCCCACTGAGCTGTCCCATTGTCCCCACCACTGTCCCCACTGTCCCCACCACTGTCCCCACCACTGTCCCCACTGTACCCCTGTCCCATTGTCCCACCACCGTCCTCGCCACCACCCTCATCACTGTCCCCACCACCACTGTCTCCACCACCGTCCCACTGTCCCCACCACATTCCCACTGTCCCCACACCACTGTCCCCACCACCGCCGTCCCCACCACAGTCCCACAGTCCCCACCACTGTCCCACTGTCCCCACTGTTCCCACCATTGTCCCCGCTGTCCCCACCAGTGCCCCCACCAGTGTCTCACTGTCCCCACTCTCCCCACCATTGTCCCAGCACGGTCCCACTCTCCCCACTTCCCCCACGGTCCCCACCGCTGTCCCACTGTCCCCACTGCTCCCACCACTGTCCCACTGTCCCCGCCGCTGTCCCACTGTCCACACTGTCCCCGCCACTGTCCTACTGTCCCCACTGTCCCCATCATTCTCCCCGCTGTGCTACTGTCCCACCACCGTCCGCACCACCGCCTTCACCACTGTCCCCACCACTACCGTCCGACCACTGTCCCACTGTCCCCACCACTGTCCCGCTGTCCCCTCACCACTGTGCCCACCACTGTCCGCACCACAGTCCCACTGTCCCCGCACCACTGTCCCCGCCACCACCACCGTCCCCACCACTGTTCCAGTATCCCCACCACTGTCCAACTGTCCCGAGGAGCGGGAATCGTTTGCCGGCGGCGAGGGGGGGGGCGTTCGAACCAGTAGTGAACCCCCTGGTTTTCAAGGGGGGGGGTCGAACCAGTATATAGTGACCCCCTCGAGTTTCGAGGGGAGGAGAGGTTGGGGGGGGGTTCGAACTGGTAGTTACCACCCCCCTTTTCATGATGGATTGGGGGGGGAAGGGGTTCGAACCAGTAGTGACCCCCGCCAATTTTCGAGAGGGGGGGGACGGGTTGGGAACCCCCAGTGACCCCCCCCCCGGTTTTCCGCCAGCAGCGGTAGAACACGCTCTTTCCAACATCGGGATCCACGTTGAGCCGCATCGGCAATGTTTCGGCGCTGCGGCGCGATCCTCCGACCCCATCAATATTTGCTCGACTGCAGGACCCAAATCTCGGACGACCCTGCGATCCAGGCGTCGCATTTGCTTCACACTGTGCGTTTTCGCCCGGCCTCGGGGCTCAGGACCATCACGGATCGATCCGGCTGAAGCAGAATTGTGCAAAAAGATGGGGTTCGAGGCGCCAGTCGCGATTTCTCGTGAAGTTGCCATTTGGTCGCAACGTCGGATCTCAAGGTTCTTGTGTAATCGTTGTTCGTTTTAGTGCTGCTCCTCTTTCTCTCGGTTGCGTGGCGCGTCCCCTCCCGCAGTTGATGAGGCTGGTGTACTCGAAGCGCCGTTGACAGCACCACCACCGGCTTTTCGCCTCCCGGGACTTCGCCACCGGGCTCCTGTCCAAGGTGTACCTTTTCCTGCACTTCAACTTCGGCACCGCCTGGCCCCAGGGCTTCGCCCTCTCGCGGCCTTGACGTGAGGCCCCGCCTTCTTTTGCCATTCCTCCCCAATTAATGCTGTGCGCGGCCCGCTTAGCATCTATCGGAAGAGGTTCGCTCTCGCCCCGCAGATCAAAAAAGTGTAAATCGTTTCTCTCTCCAGGCAGCGGTCGTTACCCAGGGGGGGGGCGGTCGGGCGGGAAAGTGCGGGCCACGGCGGCCGCGGCGCAAAACCTGTCAGGGTGCGCCCGCGCCACGGGCCCATCAGTCGCCTGCGCACCCCCAGCATACAGTCGGGGCGTTGACCCAAGGAACCCTAAATAAGGAACGCGGCCCCTTCCTCCGATAAGTTGAGCTTCGGTTTCCCATGGAAAACCTCAGGAAAACAAAAGGCAAACTGCGGAACAACCAAGGAACACCGAGCCCCTCCCCAACGAAAAGGGTTTCTTCTTCAGGGCCCCGACTGTATGGGGGGGGGGTCGAGGCCATCTCCCCTCAGTGGCGGGGCCTCCACAAGACCCAGACCCGCGCGGCGGCCGACAGGGACAGCGGCCGAGGTCGGCATCCACAGATGCCGCGACACCCTGGCCGTGGTCTCCGCGGTTCTTGCCTCGTCTTCGGGACCCACCTCGGAGGCTCAGAGCGTGCGAGTTCGGACCGAGGCGCTGCACTCTGGAAGGTCACTCTGGGGCCTCGCAGGGGGCCCGGGAACATGAGTGCTGCCTCCAGCGACAAGAAAGAGGAGGAGGAGGAGGAGGAGGAGGAGGAGGAGGAGGAGGAGGAGGAGGAGGAGGAGGAGGAGGAGGAGGAGAGGGAGGAGGAGGAGGCGCAGGAAGAGAGGAAGCGGGCTGAGGCAGGACAGAGAGTAACGACATCGAGGGGGTCATGGGGGGAAGCAAGAGGCGGGGGGCGAGAAGTGATAACGTAGCTCTACTCGGCTGCTGCTCCTCCCTCCCGTCTTCCCTATTCCTGTTCTGTTCCTCCTGACTCTCCGCTATCGTCATTCCATGACTCCCACCTGCCTCCTGATTCGTGGTCCATTGGTTTCGTCTCTCCTTCTTCTTCTTCCCGAGCGTGTTGCCCCCCCGCGGATCTCGGGCAGCCTGGGCCATCCCTGGCACCGCTGTCCCAGGCCTGCAAGAAACTCCCAGGAGGGTTTCAAGACGGCTCAGGACGCCCTCGAGAGAACCAACGAGGGCCACAAGGCTTCCAACGATGGACCTGGACGTCAAGACCACGGAGAGGCCCAACAAAGCCACCGCGACAGGCTCAAACAGGGCCTCCTAGGAGCCCCCAAAGGGGTGCCAAGGGCGGTTGGAGGAATCTCCCATCAACCAACAGGATTCGTCAGGAGACTCCCGGGTGGTCCTGGGCAACGCAAAGGGGCGTACCTCCAATCTGGGGGCACGGCCGCAATTTGAAATCATGATTCTTCCGGGCGCCTGCGGCAGAGTTTGGAGGGATGGAGGGTCGAAATTTAGTTTGAACGAAATTCCCAAGAATGTCTCCGATATTCTTGGGACTCCTGAGCCCTTCGCTCCGGACTCCTGGGCCCTAGACTCCAGGGCCCAGGACTCCTGGGCCCTGGACCCCCGTCCCAGCTGACGTTGATATTGGGGGTAAAGGGCCCAGCATCCCTGAGCCCTTCACTCCAAGGCCCAGGACTCCTGGGCCCTAGATTCCATGGCCCAGGACTACCAGAGCAAGGCTGGAACCAAAAAACGAAACGAACAACGAAACGAACGCCCGGAACTACGGCTGGGGCTACGGCACGGTCTGGGGCACAGGCTAAAGACCAGGCCAGGAGCGCAACAACAATAACAGGGGGGAAGTAACGAAACGAAAAACGAAACGAACGCCCTGGAGCAGTGCCAGGGCGAGGGGCGAGATTCGGGCTAAAGTTCCCGCTCAACGAAACAAACAACGAAACGAAACGAACAACGAAACGAACGCCCATAACTACGGCTAGGGCTACGGAAGAGGCTGGGGACCAGGCTGGAGGTCAGGCCAGGCGCGCAATCAAACAGCGCGAAACAACAAAGCGAAACAAATCGGGCCATCGAACATGAAGAGCACAACCATCAACAAAACGAACAACGAAACGAAACATCAAGCAGTCATCGAGATTATTATCAAGCGCAGTCAGGAAATCGAAGAATAACGGCGGCGCGAAACAAAACGGACAACAAAACGAACCGCGGAATGAACAGGGCAAACAAAACGAAAAACGAAACGCAATCTTGGAAACGCACCAAAACAGAACGAACAACGAAACGCGCGCCCCCAAAAAACGTCCATTCAAACGCGTTTAAAACAACAGCGAAAAACACAACGGAAACAACAACAACGAATAACGAAACGAAAAACACAACAAGGGCAACAACCAAGCTAAACATCGTTGTGGTCGGGACTTTCAAGGTCCGAACACAACGATGTTTAAAAGGCGTTGGTGCTTAGAACGAAAAACAAAACGAACCCGACCTTTGTACAACGAAAGCTTAAAATGACACCGGTGCAAACGAAAACGAACAACGAAACGAGACCACCGCTCATAGAGAAAACAAAACGAAGAACCGAAACGAACCGAGCAGACCGCGCTGGAAACATAACGACAAACGAAACGAAAACATGGAACGACGGCCGGGGCCAAGGCGAGGTTCTGGCTGGGGCTTGAACCAGACAAAACGACAAAACAAAACACACGGAAAAAAACGAAAGACGAACCAAGGCTGCGGCAAGGGCTACAGGGCCGGGGGTAAGGGCGAGGTCCCGTTTGAGGCGCGTGCGAAAACAAACGGAAACAACACGAAAAACAACCTCGGGCTGCGGCGACGGCTAGGGCCTGGGGGTCCAGCGAATGTCGCGGTTCTGGGTTCGGCTAAAACGAAACGAAAAACAAACTCGGCCTAGCCTAAGCCTCAAACCAGCCTAAGCCCCAGCCTAAGCCTAAACCTCATCCTAGCCTAAGCTAAGCCTCAGCCTAAGCCTAAGCCTCAGCCTAAGCCTCAGTCTAAGCCTAAGCCTCAGCCTAGGCTAAGCCTCAGCCTAAGCCAAGCCTAGGCCTCGCCTAAATCTCGGCCCCGCAACCACTCGCTGGACACTGGCACGACCGACGCGGACGTCCGAGTCAAGGCTCACCGCATCACTTGCGCCAGCCATTGCTGGTACTATGTACATGCGCAAGCCAAGCGTTCTCCGCTGCAATTGATCCTTGGCCACCCGCCCTACCCCTCGCCCAACCTTCCAGCCAAAACCTGTGCAGGAGCATCCTCCATCATACACAGTGAGAGGAAGAGCAAGGACCCCAGGATTAAAACATGTTTCGTTCAACTGCTTCTGCTGCATCGCCCCCTTGCCTGCGCTCTCGCTTCTGCTCAGTTACCGAAGACAAGACCCCACGTGATGAAGTGAAGAATGGGAATGCGAGTGAGCACCAAAAGCACGACCCAGAAGTGCGCCTCATTCATCAAATGCCATACGTGACCTGCGCAGGTGTGGTCCTCGTGAGTCGCTGTTTTGTCCCTGGCAATGAATGTGACTTGCATGTTGTACTCCCCAAGGCCTGCATAGAGTGATCCCTCGTCACCAAGACGACGCTCAGCATCGGCAGCCTTCAGAACAGCGAAACTGATAGTTCCCTGAATACTTACAAAATGGCAGGCTACCTGGCCTTTGAGACTCGAAGTTGCATCTTTGCTGAGGACTACCACCAAGTATGTGGTTACGAAGAGAGCGGTCGCAAGTGCCGTCTTGATCTGGATGCTGCGAACGAGTGCAAGGCGACGGTCTTTGTCGAGCCATTTGTAGGCGCGCTGGTTCTGGGACTGCGTTCCCAATAACTGATGGTAGTAGCATTCTAAGTGCATGACGTCCCTGAAAAACAATTCCCCCAAGAGCCTGGAAACTGATAGTCCAACAAGCTGCGTACCCCAGCACAGATAGCTCAGCTCTTGGAAAGTGAATTCACACCCAGAAGCGACGATACAAAGACTCAACATCTGAATGATGAACGTCTTCATTGGCCAACCTCCGAAATAATCTATCTTCCAGAAATCAGGAAAGCTAACAGGCAGACGGCAACCGTCTGGTTGTTTTTTGAGGAGGGTCATGAAATACAAATTGTAGGCGTCGCTCTGCAAGTAGGTAACGACAGACGTATCAGACGTGACCTCCTCGAGCAGCCTTTCTTCGAGCTGAGGGTTGCTGGTCTTCATACGATTGAAAGCTCGGATGTGAGGCCGGCGAACAGAGAATGTCAAGAGCTCGATGAAAGCCCCGAAAATACTTATTTCTGTGGCATTCGGATCGCCCATCAATTCCGTGAACTTTACGGTGGATCGACGTAACATCCCTCCTGCGGATTGCTCTGACACGCTCTGCCCACGAACGCTTTCAAGATCAGATGCGTCGCCCCCTTTCTTCGGCGACGCTCGCTCGGATGAGCCTTCGGATGAAAACGGCACGTATGAACCATCGGGTCCGGATGAAAACGAGCCTTTCTCGTCTGCGGCGTCAGTCGTCGAATCCGCCGACCCCTTGGGGTCACTCGGCGCGTGAGACGTTGCCCCTCCCCAAACTGAATATCGTTCGGCGTGGCCTAGGCCCCACTGGCCGATTTACCCCCCTAGATGGGGATATAGGCCGTCCCCTTCGGGTTCCGAGGGGTGTACCCCCAACTGGGGTGGTGATTTGGTGGGGGTCTCGAAGGGGATGGGGATGGGGATGGGGATCGGATAAAGGATACTGACAAACCCCTCCCCCAGGAGCTCGGTCCGGATGGTTTGGAGGGGGGGGGTCCGGAAGGAGTGCCAGCGGCCCTGGCCGCCCCAGAAATGCTCCAGGACGACTTCAAACGGCCTCGCAGTGGCCTCCAGAGCCTCCAAGATGGCCCCCGCAGTGGCTTCCACGTGGCCCCAGATGGCCCCAGATGGCCCCAAGCCGCCCCGCAGGATGGCCTCGAGACAGCCCAAAAGAAGCCTGCAGGACGTCTCAAGGGGGCTCCAAGAGAACCCCCAAGGGGGCCCCAACAAACAAACATCGCCCCATTCCTGTCGGAAAACTTACATTTTCAGTTTATTCGCTATTTTGGTTTTCGAAGCGTCCAAGACGGCCCCAGAGGCCCCCAAGATCGCCCAAAGACGGCCCAAGACGACCCCCAAGAGGGCTCCAGATGGCTCCAGGACGGCCAAGGAGGCCCCAAGACAGCCCGAGATGGCCCCTCCAAAACGACGCAAGACAGGCCCAAGGCAGGCTCAAGACGGCCCCAGATGTCCCCAAGACGGCCCAATAACCAGGCGCCCAAGAAGGCCCAGGAGGGCCCCGAGAGACAGCCGAGAGGCGCAGAAGAGTCACCTTCGGCGGTGGACAGACCTCCCTTCAGTAAACCACCCTTTGGTAAACACGGCCTGGGACCGAAACCGACGGACCTGGACCCGCAAACATGACGGCCGCGACGCCCTCCCGCGAGCCGAAGACGGCCAACTCGCTAATCGACGTGTCAGGGTAGCCCCCGAGAGGTCCCCCGGAGGCCACCGAGACCACAGCCGCCGAACCAGGCGCGAATGCCACGCCACCTGGCCGCCCTGTTCAAGCCCCGGGCCCGACGCGAGCCTGCCACCTGGCCGCCCTGTTCAAGTCCAAGCCATGGCTTCCGAAACCGCAACACGAGCCCCGGGAGGCAGCCGAGAGGCCCCGGGAGACGGCCGAGCGGCCCCGAGAAGAGGCACCGAAGGGGGCGCCCGAGCGGCACGCGCGAGAGGCCGCGGCACTGCCCCCCACGAGAGGAGGGGGCCCAGACGCGGGCCATCGCTGGGACGGCCATGCCCCGTGCACTTTTGTTTTCAAACTCGTGCCTGCATTTTTCGCAGGGTGGTTCGAAATGCTCCCCTCGGGGATGGACAGGCCCCCCTTCAGTACGTCGTGGTTTGGTGAGAACGACCTGAGGCCCAAACCTGGCGGGCGCAGGTCTGGAAAAGAACGGCCACGGCGCCCTCTCGAGAACCGAAAACGGACAATTCACTCATCGACGTGTCACTGTTGGGGCTTCTGTCCACCCCCGATCCTCGATGGTTGTTCCTCGAGGAAAAGTGCGCACGTCCGAGCGACAACAGGGACGAGGGGCGAGAGGCCCCGCGCGGGGAGCAAGGGGATAGGCCTTTGACGCTCTGGGGTCCTGGATGCCTGTCTGCTGGGCGGCGTTGCCGCAGGATCGACGACTGAGGATCGACGATCGAGGGATGGGACGCACAAGGACGTACTAATACTACATGTCCTCCTTGGAGGCGCGCGTCCGACCCGAACATGTAGTATACCCATCTTGTAGTACATCGTTTCCCGAGCGGTGTAGCCAGAAAGCGCCCGCCACGACGCATATACTAGAAGATGTTTCGGTGCGCGCGTCGCCCCTGTGCGGGGCGACGCACATATAGTATAAGTATGTTGGGGTGACGCCGAATGGAGGCGAGGATCGAGGAAGGGAGGGGGAGGAGGGAGTGAGGTCAAGGAGGGTCCAGGATCGAAGAGCGGAAGGACGGAAGGGAGAGGATTAGAACAGCAATTTCATGGACTTTCTACCAACAGGTTTGATCCTCGGCATCCAAGAGCCCCACGGGGTCGGCGGCGCGGCGCGAGCCCATGACTCGGAATCGCTCGAAGCGTCTGAGCTTTTCGATCCACACGACGATATCCCATCGCTTCCGGTTCCAAACAAGGACCTCAAGTACGTAACCGATTGCATCACACCCGGTGGGTAGCGGAAGGCTCACCTTCTTGAAAGGCAGCGGACCGATGCTCAGCCAGAGGGCCTGCGGGCGGAATGTGGACCTCGAGCCGAATCGCCCACGGGAGCGGTCAGAGGCGGTCTTTGGGCCGTCCAGGGCTGCCCCCCCCTGGGAATCCTGGGTCGCCGAGCGCGTTCCACGACTCGCAAAGCACACACTCGCAGACGTCCGATGAGAGCACCTGTCTGCTTCCTGCCATCGCTCGGACGTCCATTCCCTGTGTTTTTTTCGGTTTCGTGCGTGGTTTTTTCGCCAAATGATCAAGGATGCTCCTCGATGGTCCTCGCCGAGAGAAAAAAGCAGACGTCCGAGCGATGCCAGGCCCCCGCATATTCGTCTGTCCGCCACCGCGCCGTAGGCACCAATAGGGCACTGCGCTGGCCCCGCAGACGTGCTGCAGCGGACTTCTGCGCGGAGGTTTGCCCGAGGCGGCGAGCGAAAAGCGGAGCGAATTCCGTGCGGATGTCTTTTGCTCTTCATTCCTGGCCAAACAAGACCCGCGCTAAATTCACCTCGAAATCCGGAACGAAATTCTCCAGGACACCCTGGGCCCACCCTGTCGTTTTCCAAACGAGCTCCGCTCTGCGACGTTGGCGGCATGATGAATGGAATGTCCTCAGGTCCCCCCCGGGGGGACCGGAGGACCTTGGGCGCCCGAGCTATCCGGGGTAACTCGGGTCCGGGGTAACTCGGGCTTGGATTCCCGAAAAAGGAACCCGAGTTATCCCTGACCCGAGTTACCCCTGATGATGTGGGGCTCTGGACGCCCGAGTTATCCGGGGTAACTCGGGTCCGGGGTAACTCGGGCTTGGATTCCCGAAAAACGAACCCGAGTTATCCCTGACCCGAGTTACCCCTGATGATTCGGGGCTCTGGACGCCCGAGTTCTCCGCACTGAATACTGCAAGTGCTCGTCAAGAGCTCCAGGCCCGGGCCTCGCGGACTTCTCGGGCGCTCCCCCGGCGTCCTCGGGGCTTCCCGCACCGTGCCGCTTCCGGGGGCCAGGGAGCCCCACGACGGCCCGAGCGGGCCGCAAGAGGGCCCCAAGACGGCCCGGGAGGGCCCCAAAAGACGGCTTCAGAGGACCCCGACGCGGCCCAAGGTAGCCTCGAGACGGCCCAGGAGGCCCCCAAAACATCCCGAGAGGGCTCAAAGAAGACCCAAGATGGCCTCGAGAGACAACACGATACATGATTCACACACCGTCTTTGACATATTTTCGCGCGTTCGCCTTTTCAGGCTTCCGAGAATCCAGAGCGGCCCAAGAGTACAGTCGAGGCGTTGACCTGAGGAACCCTAAATAAGGAACGAGGCCCCCATTTTCCATAGGCTGAACTTCGATTTCGCATCGAAAACCTGAGGAACATCCAAGGCAGGCTGCGAAACAATCAAGGAACACGCAGCCCCTCCCCAACGAAAAGGGTTCCTTCTTCGGGGCTCCGACTGGACCACACAATCGCTCCAAGACGCAAGACGGCCCAGGAGGAGGAGGAGGAGGAGGAGGAGGAGGAGGAGGAGGAGGAGGAGGAGGAGGAGGAGGAGGAGGAGGAGGAGGGAGGAGGAGGAGGGAGGAGGAGGAAGGAGGAGAGGAGGAGGAGGAGGGGAGGAGGAGGAGGAGGAGGAGGAGGAGGAGGAGGAGGAGGAGGAGGAGGAGGAGGAGGAGGAGGGAGGAGGAGGAGGAGGGAGGAGGAGGAGGATGGGGAGGGGGAGGGGGAGGAGGAGGAGGAGGAGGAGGGGGAGGGGGGCAGTGTACCACTCCTCACTCCTCCCCTCAAAATAAGGAACGAGGCCCCTTTCTCCCATAAGTTGAACTTCGACTTCCCGTGGGAAACCTCAGGAGAACCGAAGGTACACTGCAGAACAAGCAAGGAACACCGAGACCCTCCCCAACGAAAGGGGTTCCTTCTTCAGGGCCCCGACTGTAGGTGGAGGAATTAACACCCTAACACTCTTGGGCGAAAGAAGCCCGAGATCCGTGATGACGTAGGGCCCAAGGCGCTTTCTCAGCGAGGCTACGCCCTGGGTAGAGGAGTCCAGCGGAGCCCGAATCCAGCACTGTTGAAAACATCTGTGCGCTTTCTTTTGTTTCTCTTTCTCTCTATCTCTCTTTCTCTCTCTCTCTCTCTCCCCCTCCCCAAGGGTCCAAAATCCTACCCGAAAGGGGGGGGCAGTGGGGGGGGCACCAAATCTATACTCCGTGGCCTCCAAGACGCCCAGGATGCCATCTGAGCTCGCCAAAAGCTGGGCCCCAACACGCCGAGGGGTCCTCGAAGGTGACCAACATGGCCTCAAGACTCCCCAAGACGACCCCCAAGAGAGCCCCAAGACTCCCCAAGACTCCTCAAAACTCCCCAAGACTCCTCAAGACTCCCCAAATGGCCTCAAGACTCCCCAAGACTCCGCAAGACCGCCCAAGAAGCCTCAGCGACGCCCCAAGAAAGCCCCAAGGCGACCCCCAAGAGCGCCCCAGGAAGCAGAACTCGCCCCAGTCCCCGAGGAGACGGCTCGTGTGTTGCAAGCTCACACGTTTTGCCTGCACAGCGTCCAAGACGGCTTATACACAGATCTCGTCGCCCACTGCCTGGCCGCCGACCGAGCATCGGACGCACAGACACATACTAGTATTATGCATCCTCCTTGGAGGCGCGCGTCCGACCCTGACATATAATATACACATCTTGTAGGATATCGCTTCCCGAGCGGTGTGGCCAGAACGCGCCCGCCACGACGCAGATGCCACAAGATTTCTGGGTGCGCGCGTCGCCCCTGGGGGGGCGACGCACATGTACAGTGCGGGCGCGGGCGCAAGAAAACCTCGCCAGAAACCAAACCCTGAAAACCCGCGCGCGGGGTGCACCCGAGGGGAATCCCAGAGCACCCTGAACGCAGCAGCTTCTTCAGCGGCCGCGGGAAGTCGCCGCGCAGCGCGCGGAGCGAAGAACCCCAGGATGCCCTGACGAGAAGCAAATGGTTTCTTGAGGCGCGCCCCCACTGTATACTATAAAATTTCTCGGTGCGCGCGTCGCCCCTGGGGGGGCGACGTTTGAGCAGGGACCGACCGTCCCGGCATTCCTTTTGTCCTACCACGACATGTTCTTAGCTAACTTAGAACCAAAACATGTTCTAATAACAAAAACAACAATGTTCTTAGAACATCAACCCCATGTGTTAAAACAAATCAATATCCGCCAGACATGTTCTAAGAACCTTTCGTGGTAACCGCAAAAGGTCCTTAGAAGATTGTTTGGTCGAGGCTATAGGCAAACCAGGACGCTTCGCCACTGCTTGAGACGCACATGCAGTGTAAGCATGCTGGGTCGGTGATCTTCTGACCCGGGTCAATCCAGACCCGGGTCAGCCAAGCCTTGCAGAATCCTGCAAGATGCTGCACCCAAACCCGGGTCAATGCGAAGGATCCTGCAAGATCCTGCAGGATCCTGCACCCAAGCCCGGGTCAATGCGACCCTGTCCCTGCAGGATCCTGCAAGATCGGGCGCTCTGGCTGACCCCCGTTTGCATCGACCCCCGTCTCGAGGCTCCCGACTGGGGTGGCGCCGAGAGCACCCGGCTGCGCAGCTTCGCGCCCCGCGCCTCGCGAGGCGCGGCGCGCGCCTCCCGCCGCGCCCTCGCGCCCTCCTCGCGCCGCCCCCCTCCGGCGGCGGGCCGGCCGCTCCGGCCCGGGCCGCGGCGCGCGAGGCGCGGCCGCCTCCGCGCGCGCGGGCGACCTGGAGCACGAGGCTCCCAGAAGGCCCCTCAACAAGAGCCACGCGAGGCCCCCAGGGCCGCCCAAGAGCAAAAGAGAGGAGGAGGAGGAGGGGAGGAGGAGGAGAGGAGGAGGAGGAGGAGGAGGACCAGGAGGAAGGAGGAGGGAGGAGGAGGAGGACCAGGAGGAGGAGGAGGAGGAGGGAGGAGGAGGAGGAGGAGGAGGAGGAGGAGGAGGAGGAGGAGAGAGAGAGAGGCCCCGAGGCAGAAGAGGCCCCCGAGCAGGAAGGGCCGCGCGAGGCCCCCGGGAGGGCCCCCCCCCCCCCCCCCCCGGAGGCCAGCGGTGCGCGCGGCGCCCCGCCGCTCTTCGGCGGCAGGCGCCCCTGCCAGGCGAGGCACCCGAGGGCCTGAGGGCTCCCCGGGGGGCGGTGGACAAACCTCCCTTCATCGGCCACACGCAAGAGTGACCCTGGGTAAGAGTGACCTTTGGTGCGCGGCTTTTCGGGGGCCGCGCGGGGGCCGAACACAAGCGCGCAAGACGCTACTGCACCATCGCTCCCGGCGATCGGGGGACCCCATTGGGCCCGCACCCAAGGTCACTCTGGCGAAAGGTCACTCTTACGTGTAGTCGACTTTAGCAGACCTCCCCTCAGCGAAACTGGCCTGGGACCGAAATCGACGGACCTGGAGCCGCAAGAATGGAGGCCGCGACGCCCTCCCGCGAGCCGACAACGGCCAATTCACTAATCGGCGTGTCAGGGTAGGAGGTCTATCCACCCCCGACCCAGGGGGCCGGCGGTGCGGCGCAAGCCAGCGAGTCGGACGGAGCTCCGGCACGCCCACGGGAGAGGACGCTGCAGGGCAGTTTTTAATACGTTGGATGTTGTAAAGATAGAGGATTTCTGATACATGATCAATTTATGAATCAATGAATGCATGAACTCCTCCTTGTCTTTAACACTAAATCCCACGCCCACGGGAGAGGACGCTAATGTTATGTCGGGCCTGTCCCCCTACAGGAGGCTTTTCGACGAGGAAAAAAATACCAAAAATCATCCAAAAATAATCCCAAAAATAGTCTGGGAACTATTTTTGGTGTGTTGTTTGACCTTTGTGGGGTATTTTGGGAGTATTTCTTATTTTTCGCCGAAAATCCGCCTGTAGGGGGACACGCCCGATTTAACGCTAAGGCCAGGAGACCTTCCGAACGCTGCCAGGGTGCAGTCGAGAAGGGCAGTGTAAGGGCGCGCGGTGAGGACGCACTGCTGCGCCATCAGGGCCCTTCCCCGCTGGAGAGCGTCGCGCCACGCATCCAAAGGACGCCGCCTGCCTAAAGGGCACCCCGAGAG